GTTACCGACACGAGTAACTTCAAAAACAAACTCTTGTATCGATCATATTTGGGGAAATATTGGTGGAATTAACAATAGTTGCATACACGGCTGGGGTCCAGCCGATCATTTCATGATTGAAGTTTCTATCTCTATGCCAAAATTGGTTAGTAGATATAAAGAAACATTTAGCTTTAGAAATATGAAAATTTTGAAAATGATGATACATGGTTAAGGTTTGCTTTCCTCTTACAGTCCAAACTGAAGGAAGTTGATGGTACCTTATCCGATTTGGATAAATCTGCTGAAAATTTCTCTGAAATAATTCTCAGTTGCATTGATAGATTTGCTCCCTCTCAAACTCGTTAGTGCCGAAAAATAACAAGTCCTGGGTGAAAAATGAAGTGAAAAAAGTAGCAAACAAAAAAGCATTCGCATACAGGACATATATACAAAACCCTACAGAAGATAACAAGATCAAATATAACTCATTACGAAACAAATCCAATGCCCTGAATCGGAAATCATTCAGAAGATTCTGGAGAACTAAGCTAAATACAACAGACTCTCATAAGTATCACAAAGCGGTTGCAGCATATCTTGGAAAACATAAAAATGTAACGTTGCCAGATGATATAAATGAAAAAAAAGCTCAAGATATGAACAATTTTTTTGTAAATATTGGTTCAAATCTAAGTGATAAAATTGGAGTTGCAGATCCTATTTCATTAGAAAATGTTGATTATTCAATGTTCTTTCCGAGTATAAAGGAAACAAATAGAACAAATAAAAACAGAATTACCAAATAAACTCAGCTCGGGTTGTGATTGCATCAATACAGCAATAGTCAAATTATGTAAACCAATAATCACGCCATGGCTCACGAACTTTTTCAATACCTGCTACACAAATGGGTGCTATCCGAAATACTTAAAAATTGCTAAAGTTTTTCCGATTCATAAAGGTGGATTGCAAGACGAATATGGAAATTATCGACCCATATCTTTGTTATCAACGCTGTCAAAAATCTTTGAGAAGACAATTCATATCAGATTAAGTAGTTATTTGGAAAATTGCAAGTTGCTCAGTACAAATCAATATGGCTTCCGTAGTAAATTAAGCACAGTTAAAGCGGTTCTAGATCTAACAGAAGAGGTTCGTAACCTGAGAGATCAGAAGAAAAAAGACGTTATGTTAGTTTTATTAGATCTGAAAAAAGCTTTTGACACTGTCAATCATGCGATCTTAATTGATAAATTAGAGCGGTATGGAGTAAGAGGAAAGTCGCTGGAAATTCTAAGAAGTTACTTGTCTAATAGGAAACAGTATGTTAAGCTTATTCAATTTAAAAGCGAATTGAAAGATGTTTTGTGCGGGGTGCCACAGGGTTCAGTCTTAGGACCGTTGCTCTTTTTGATCTATATCAATGACCTTCCCAGAATTGTAAGAAATTGCCGACTTACTTTGTTTGCTGACGATACATCTGTTATTAAAAACAAAAACGCTTCCCTTGATGACTTTCAAGAGGATCTAAATCGAATAGATAATTGGATGAAGTTTAATAAACTTACCGTAGAAGGATCGAAGTCTAAGCTACTTATTTTTTCAAAATCCAAAGCTGATGCTATATATTTCGCAGACACTTGTTTACAACCCGTTGCTAGCTGCAAATACCTAGGCATTGAATTGGATAATAAACTATCCTTCAAAGATCATATTGACATTATACGAAAAAAATTAACCCGCTTCTGCGGAGTTGCATACCGGCTTCGTAATGTGATGACGATTTCACAAATGGTCATGTACTACAAAACTTATGTACAACCTTGTGTTCAATATGGAGTTCTTGTTTATGGAGCAGTTTGCAAAAGTACATTAGATGTTATTCATAAACTACAAAAACGATTTTTTCGTATAACTTTTCGCAAAAGTTATCGTGACTCGACAACGGAAATAATGGCCAAACGCAAAATTGCTACTGTATACGAGTTACATGTATATGAAATTCTAAAGAAAATAGTTAATGAAGAATTGTCTCAGAAATGTGAAACTATTTTTTATTCAACGAGGTCATCAGTAAAGGGTGCTCGTATTTTACCATCAATAAAAAGTAAGCTTAAATATAACTCTGTTTCCCATCGTGTTGCCAAATTAATCAATAAATTAGCCAATTGGTGTGTAAGTATACCTTCCTCCTTTGAAACCCATCATTCAAAAAATGCTTTCTGTCATTCAATCTTAGATTCATATATAATAGGAAATTGCCATTTGATTGATGAATTATATCGCTAGACTTGAATTAATCCATTCTAACTTCCCTGAGTCCTCGGTTAGACCTGTTAACCTCTCGTCGAAGGTACCAGGCAGTGGACTCTAGGAAGGGGAGTTAGAAAAAAGCGAACAACTGGATTACCAGCTCTTAAGAACTGGGCCCACTTGCTCGCTAATTAAATTAACAGTCATTATTTCGCATCCGCCCGCTGTCAGTTGTATACACTTGTAAGTATAAGCTTGCATCATATCTCTGGTTCTCATGTTAAAGAATAAAGATCTTAAATTAAAAAAAAAGTGATTGCACTATTTAAGTCTCGTTTTTTTTTCGCTTTAAATTTGCCTCTTGACCTAAATTAATTATTGAACTTTTTGATCTGATGTCATATATTGTGATTCCTTTACGGGGCAACCTTCAACAAGCCTCTCGTTGGCTTTCTGGTTGTCCTATCATGAGTTATCTTTGAATTTTTGCATATTGTGTTATGATAATTTGATTACTCATGATGAATATTTAAATAAAATAAATAAATAATTCTTTTTAAATTTCGATATAAAAAAATGGACAATACTAAAATATAGCTCAACAAACAAGTTTTTTTGCTTTGGTTTGCAACTGAATCAAAAAGAATAAAATCAAATAATAAATTTGCACAAAAATTGGAAAGTTTTAACAAACATATCCAACAGGCAGTCGAAAAAACGTTCATGCACTGAAGGAGACTAATCAACAGCAAAACCATTGACAACAATTTCCGAATCTCTGAACAAACTAGATCAGCTTCAATGTCTTCGACTTTTGATTGGCATCGTTCATAAAACTAGACCAATTTGAGGTGTATCATAAAAGTAGACCAAGGTGTAGAGTGGTTGAATGTTGTTACCTTTTTTCGCTAATCCATACCATTGCTTAATCGTAGCAAGCAATTTCTCGATAAGCTGCCTTTGAAAACGCTCAAAAATTCGAATGTTTTACATTTAGCCAACATGTAGCGAATTAAATTGTAAAAAAATGCAATGCGGACCCAATCTCTATTTGCAATAAAAATATATATGCCAACGCCCCAAGAAAAAACATGCCTGTGAAACAAAATAGATAAGACTAATGTTTTGAGAATTTCATATGCCAGAATTGAAGAGGAGCGAAATATTGTCTAACCCGCATTTTGAAAAACTCGACCTCTAGGCGAAGGATTTATATGCGAAATACGACTGAGAGGAGCCTGGAAAGAAGCAAAATTTAACACAGACGCAATGCGAAATTTGATAAAAATTGTGATACAAATCAAGCATAGCATTACTAGCTGGCGAAAAGAAAAGTTAATAGGTTTGTCTCGAATGCTGTTCAATTTCATGAAAACACACTCAAGAAAAGCAATCAACAGCGTTGAATAAGCATTCGGCTTTATATGACGAGTGACCATTAAGCCAACAATACTTGGGTAGAATCCCGTTGAGCCTAAAAAAATGGCACAAAAACCGTTGCGCCTAAAATAAAATTGGCATAAAAAAGTACAAAGTACTAAGTTTTAGGAGTCAAAGACGCCCCACCCCTTTTACACCTCAGCCCTCCTGAAACATATCAAAACATAAAAACCTTTATTTGCTCATAAAACGAGGAAGCATCAAATGACTAGGGCAATTCAAAGTAAACCGAAAAATAAGCAGACAGACCAAAATCCGACAACTCGAGTTTCCCGAGAAAAAATTTCTTTTCATACATAGCGAAAAAAACAGTTCGGGCTGGATTCAAATTCGAGCTTAGGATCCAAAAGCATATATTTTTTTACTTAGTCCAATTGAATTGGTTCTGAAAGTAGTTGAGGTTCCATAATAAAGCAAGTCCAACTGGCTCTCGCAAGTGAGAACAATGACTTCAAAAACTTCACAAAATAGTTGATCATTAAATCATAAACATAGCCAACAGAAAGTTGGAAAAGTCTCAATGAACAAAGAAACTAAAAAATATATATATTTTTGAAATTCCGTATTTCGAAGAAAAAATTCATCACTTTAGGGCTCTTTAAATTTCAAGTAAATTTTATAAATAAAACTTTTTTCGTTAAAAAAAATCCAATTCAAACGTGATCAATAGGCATTTTTTATTCCGCTGGGAAACCTTAAAACTAAATCCCCTATTTGCACTTTTGTAATTCGCCTACCTTTTAGCAAACGAATTTGAATTGAACTTAAAAACAAACCAAAATAGAAACTGCAAAAAAATCAAAATTTAGCGTGATTAACTTGCTACACAACTTGTGTGATCCTGAAAAAAAACCACACAAACTAAATAAGTGCCTTCATTTTGTTTATTGACAATTTAAAAATTTACGAGAAAAAACTGAGAATCCAAGTACTTGAATTATTACTAGTAGATTAAAGATGTTGTCCTGGTCAAGCTCGAACTAAGAAACCTTATCGACCCACTCAGACGATAATTCTGCGCCAAGTACCCAGATATTGCTACTATAATCTGATTTGGTAAATTCGTTAAGTAACCAAATGATTCAGTGATTCTGTTGAACAAGGTGTTCATCCGGAACAAAAGCTTTATAGTCCAATGTGACTTCGTTGACACAGTAAGTTGGCTAAATCAAGGCATCTTCGAAAAACTCCATGACATAAAAAATGCATCCGAAATAATGGCAATTAATTTTCCTCAGTGTTTTTCGGCTAATTTACTGATAATTTCACTGTGAATATCTGCCCCCTTTAACTCAAACCACCAAAACGTGAAGTAAAAACGCTAATCACAGCAATACAATTAAATTTTATGAAATAAAACAAAAATCGAAGGTTGGTATTATATTTTTATACTTTGAGATATTGGAACTATTATAATTCATAATTTATTGCACCGAAAACACAAAGAACGAAAACAAAATGAAGCCTATCTACCAATAAATAGTAAAAATGATCGCAGTTACATTTCATAACCACCGGACCAGGCAACTATCTCAACACCAATTATATACAAATACATCAAACAACCACGCTATTTGACATTGAGTTTGAAAACTAAAAACAGCTACTAAGCTAAAATAAACCGCAACTGCACTTCTGTTAATGAGTTAAAAAACAGATGAAGTGGCGAGCTTAATTGGAAACTAAATTGAGAAGAAGGAAGGTTCTGATATCCGAGGAAGTCAATTGGAATGGAGGTAAATTATTGCACGGGGCTCGCAAGATGAGCCGAAACATTAATTAAAATGGCCCCTCTACCCCCCCCCCACCCAATTAACCAGGCATAACCATCAATTGTACGGTAAAACCATTGATTATTTAAGTTTGAATTGGCATAACTTGTGCTTGTAAGTGAGTATTTTTCTCACACGCCAAGTATCACGACAATTGCACTGCGTGAACAAACGTTATCTATACAAAAAATCACTTTTTGGGACAGGGGAATAGAAGGGGAACCGCAGAAGAGCCAAACAAAATTGCACACTGCAAAGCATAGCATTTATTTGTGACACTTGGTTATTAAAACCCTGATGATAGGGCAAACGCAATTGGTTGGAATTGGAACGACAGCACGTCAATTTGACTGCAAAAGAATGAGCGATTTATGCACATATTTAATTAATAAATCTACAAAAATAGTTGTTTTGACCATGCTTCTAATGAATACACTATACATTTACACTGAGTTCTAACATCACTTCGTTTCACAGAAATTTGGATAGAACATTGTTGATCATCTTTTTGTTCAGCCCTCGCAAATACGCCGATGTGTCGGATCCTAACTCCTGGCTATTTCCAGACGCCATTACCGACGCGAGGAACGATGACGGATCTGCTGCAACGTCTTCTAGAAACGCCGCCGTCGACTCATTGGAAGCCAGGAGTTCCCTTAGGTCCGGAGATAAACTGGATCCAGCTGCCGACGTTGAGGCATCTTTGATATCCGATGTGGCTTCTGATAAAATCGCGAGGATGTCATCTGTGACGGAGTGGTTCCCAGCCGCTACTGGAGACACAATAGCAGTAGAACTTGGTATCGTGATTTCGTCCACTAAACTCGTACTTTCTAAAGATGAGCCCATTAGCATACTGCGTCCGCTATCCTCATCGTTATTATTGTTGTTTAGAGTCTTGGTCAATGACTGGATGAAAGAATCTTTTCCGAAGGTGTCAACTTCGATCACTTCGTTACTCGATGGTCTGCTGGATCGAACTCTGGGCGGCAGAGTCCCGTCGAGCAGCTTCTTTCTCCTGGGTTTCCTTGGCATCTTGGCAAAATGACCTTTCCTCGCCCTCTGCTCTATCTTCGGGTCCGGTTCGTGATTGTGCTCCCCTCGACGGAAAGTGATCGTCGTCATCTCCAAATCAGTATGCATGATAGCAAAGCAGAGCTTCTTCTTGCAGCGCCAGTATACCTGAAGAAAACGAACAAATCATTGCTTTTGACCTTGATTGTTTCGTTCAAACAAAAGAAGTGAAGTAATTTTAAGTTGAATTCTCCGAATCTGTCAAAAGCTTTCTAGCCTTTTTATCGATATTTAGTGTTCATTAACTTTTTTTTAATTATACGTTTTTATGCAAAAAAACTAGCACAATGCTTTTTAACTTCATAGCACAAAAACTAGCACAAAAAAACTAGCACAATTTTTTAACTTGATATTGAATCATGGATAACTTACGCTTTTCGAGGAGCATTTATCCTTTGAGAATATATGACCCTCTTGCAGAACATGGTTGCGCCCGTCTGGCGCATTGATCAACACAAACTCGTCTCGTATGCTATCCGGCATTTCGGGAAGTGGTGTCGGAACTGTATTCCACATTGGCTCCTCTGGCTCGCTGTCCGAGTCATCTTGGCTGGCCATTGATGCGGTTATTGCGTCTTTATTTGGAATCACCTCTCCTCGGGCAACTTTGTCTGCGATCGCTTCAATTTTTGGACTCACACTTGATTCGGACGATATTTTCAACTCTGGCTCCTCAATTTCTGCAGGCTCTGTTGCTCTGAGTTGCATGTTACAGTCTGCGGACGACTGATGCACCGTTTCTTTTTGCGGCTGAGAGAAGTCCAGAACTGAATGGAGTGATTCTGGACTAGGTTCGACCTTTGGGGCCAGTTTCCGCTTTAGAATGACTCGCGAAGTTGAACTTGAACCGGCGGGCGAAGTCGGTTGCTGCTCTTTGGTGACCCTCGGGATCTCTTTGCACAAGTCCTGCACTCCTGGAATGTTTTCTAGATTCAAATTGGTCACTTCCGGCAGCCCCATCTGATTGGTCAGTGCTGTGTAATTCAAGAGACTTTGCTGGATTATGTCGGACAGCGATGGCGTGTTTGAGAACTTCAAGATCTGGGCAGCTAATTCGACATTTGTTGGAATGTGGTTCATGGCAGCTGTATTTGATATAATCGAGTCTACTGTAACCTGACTTGGTGCACCGGATCCGAGGTCTGACAAATCAGCAGCATTATTGCTGGAGAAATTCTCGTCGTTGGAGACCGGACTCTTTTCACAATCGTCCAATTCGTGGTTGTGCTTGCCTCCACTTTTCAAGACTTCAGTCACGTGTTCATCTGTGTAGAGTGTATATCTGCAGAACTTTTGCTGACATCTCCAAGACAGAAGACCTTCACTGGTCGCTGGATCCAAACGTCTGAACTTTCTGCCAGAACATACAATTGCTTTCACTGCTTTCGTAAACTTGTGATGAATAGGTTTGAAATTTTTGTGCGGATACGTCACATTTGGAACTGAGCTGTTCACGCTAACATTTAGACCTTGATAGGTTGATAGCGAAGTGTGTGAATTTCTGAGGTGATGATTAGAGTTGTGATAAGCTTTTGTTTTGGCGTTGGAGAGATCTAGCACCATGTCTGAATTATCATCGTCATCTTCCCCGAGATCGAAATCATCAAGTCCATCATCACCATCGATTCCAAGAAGCGTGCTCATGTCATAGATTCCGCTTTTCCGTTTCTTCGCTGAACCCTGAGAATCATTTCCACTTTCTTCAAATCGGTTGCCCAAACTTTGTGCAATTGCGCTGATGATAGACTCCGAGGTCTTGGCCAGTACGTTTGAAACTACCAGATTGGCGCTTTCAATGTTCGACTCATTTTCCTTCTTAGCTTCCACGTTACTTGGTCTGAGTCTTTTGAATTTGTTTGCTGCGAATCCATTGCATATGCTACTGCTTTTTGCATCTTGGTAACTCTCAATCGGTGGTTTCTTTTCTGCTTTTCCATTAGACAGAGGAGTGTTTTGGTCCTTGTTGGCATCCGATAGATCCGGATTCTGGTTCGGAGCGTGGTTGTGCTCGCCTAACTCTTTCTTCACGAAGGTTCCAGCCGAATCTGTGTGAACGTATTTGGGACAGCCGTATTTCCGTTTCCGACAAACCCAATAAACCTAAGCAAATCACGTCCTTTTTGTCCTCAAACAAAAATCAGATTTCAAGAAAACTTTTCAAAAACATCGAACTTGCTTCGTTATCTAGAATCCAGAACTTCGCTATAAAAAATTAATAGGTTCATCACAAAAATTAGAAGTTTTTCAAATCTACTCAAAAATATGTAGATATGTAGTTAAAAGCTGAACATCGTAAACAAGATTGTCGAAGTCTAAAAATTAGCTTACTGTTTTTCCCGTTGAGCAGTTCCTGACCAACTTATGACCATCCTTGACCACGTGAGGGATACTCTCCGTCAGATCTAGAATATATCCATTGCCCAGACTCCTCTTGAGCGACTTCGAGGAGCTGGAAGGCGATGTTGCCGACGCCTTCCCCGAACTATTGTTCGGCGATGTCTGATTTGAGTTGTCGCCGCTTCCGTGGAGCAGAGATGAGCTGGAGAGACTGCCGTACCTCAATGCTTTAGCAGGCGACAACATCGGCAAGCGTTTCTCGACGCCGTGCGTCTTTCGAGGAGCTATTTTGGACGCAATTTTGAATAGCAGATTTACTTCCTTTTCTCAAAATTGACGTTTGACCTCTTAAAAAGAGGATATTTTTATTTGAACGCAATGAGTATATGATGAGAGATAGAGAATGCTTCGTTGCTTTTCTGATGCTTAGACGGAGAACAAATGTTTGTCGCTATTAGATTAATTGCTGTTGTCGACAATTTCATTAAAAAAGCGCCATGGCTGTGCGTATGATTTGAGCACAAGCAACTGACGACATAGATATAGCTATACAGTCTGAAACGAAACAAATGAGCAATGCAGTGTAATGTTGTATGGAAGTTGTGTTTCCGAAAAGAGGGAATTCAATATGTGTAAGTAATCACAAATTAAAGAGATCGGTTTGCGTAGAAACAACAAAGAAATAGGAAATTTGAAAGCAAAAACAAAACACATTTAACGATGGGGAACGTATGTTGGCGTCGTTGGTTGGAAATAATCGAAAATGGCAGAAAAATGGTTGACTACTTTTACTTTATTAATTCAAAACAAGTTTTTACTCTGCAAAGTCAACTACTTCCTCTGTTAGGCAACTAAACTGTGGCGATTGCGAACGAAAGAAAGAAGAAAAATGGAGAGAGAGAGAGAAAAAAAAACATATTACTCCGTGTATGACTTTTTCTCTATATATTTTTCGCTCCGTGTTTTTTCGCAATAATTTTCCCTTTAGTTAATACTCTACAACTACTATCTCGAATCGTGGCAGCCACAGAATAAAATAAAAATCACCAGTTTAGTCAGCAGTCAAGTCAGCTAACTATTCGCATATCCTCAATGTTGAGTTATGTTATGTTCCACTACTCTTTAGCTCCGTAGGAATAGAGCAAAAAAGCTAGAAGAGGAAAGAAAAAAAGAAAGAAACAATTGCCGAACCACAGCACAGCACACACGTATATGATACGCCACCGCATTGAATTCGCATTATTATTGTACTATGAGTGAAAAAGTACAGAAAAATACATAGCAAATACGGAGGACATGAAAACAACAGTATAAGACTGAACTGAACAGGGGGGAACATGTTGCCGGTGGTCGCCGCTGCTGTGCTGTAGCGTAGCTTAGCTAACCTCTGTCATTGCTTATTTTGTAGATATATCTATCGATAGAAAAGAAAGATAGATAGATAGATATGGAAGGACATTAAGATATATTGCACAACACATTTTGTATGTACTATCTATCACGGCACGGGAGCATTTTAAAGACATTTCTATTTCTCATTTCATTATTCAAATTTGCACCACTCCGAGAATTTCTACACTTTTTAATGCTAGAAATTAAGCCTTGCATTACACTACACACAACAGGACAAATATAAAGAAAAGATATGGATTCCTTATGGAAAATAATGTATTTCACATTTAGATATTTCCCTTAGAAAGTGCAAGACATACTGGCACATATTTTTTCCCAACACGCGCTGCTGAGCAACAAAAAACTAACTAGCAACACACAGCACAGCACAGCACACAACTTCAAAAAGACATCCTTATCCTGGCAAAACTCTTCGAATGAAAGAAAGCAACGGATAAATTTAATCTGTATGCTCACTGGTCACTGCATAAATATTAATTTCGAGTTCGGTTTCATCTTCTGAATTGCAACTCTGATGCGAATTTGAAGCAAAGAAAGAGGCGAATTAAATATCATGTGGTCCCCCTTAAGATCAAAATTAATTTGTACTCGCCACGAAGCTGGCTTTTTTTCTGGTGGTATCAAAAATAGCTTCTCGAAAAAGCTCCGAGCAAATAAACTGGTTGGCATAAAAATGTATTGTTTTTAATTTTGATGAGTAGAGTCCAAATCTCTACTTCAATTTGACAAATACTTTGAAAATGCCAACAGTGGTCACTTTTTCACATTGTTAAATTAGATTTGTAGCCGGAGCACTCTTAAAAATACAGTGTAAAATCTATCATATAAATTGTCAAACGAAGTTTGTCACGAACTAATCACAAAGCATATTGAATTTCATAGATGCCAATCATACACGCCTCGGAACCGGCGAACAAAACTAACAAATCATCTTCGCTGTTTGTCTCAAAAATAACAGCTTTGCGGTTTCATAATTTGATTTAAACTCCACTTTCCAACATATAAAACCTCATTTAGACGATCAGTCATCTAGCTTCAATAAAAAAAATGTCAGACCACATTGAACGTGTGCTGCAGAGAAATCTACGCGGAATGACTTTGAACAACTACAAAACCGTAGGCGACGTTCGGGCAATACGCAAATGCGAGCGGCTCAGCCAGCAGTTAGACAGAACTCGCGACCATATGGACAAAATGTACGCCTCTGATTTGAAATCAGCAAACCACGAAGTCGAGTTCCGCCAAAAAATATACGCAGGCCAGCTGATCCGAATCCAGAACGACAAAAACCGAGCAATCAAGGAAAACGAAAACCCGAATTTGATTCTGAAAAATGCTGGCTCAAGACAGAAAATCGTGTCGCGAAATGGTCTGAAAAGAGTAATCGAACACATTTCGGAGCAACAAGGAAAGGAAGGCCACAAAACAGATTTGGAAACAGACGAACAACATGCTTTGAGAAGAGAACAAATAAGAAAGGCAAGTACGCACCTAAGAAATGAAAACCATCAGGCAATTTCAGCTAATAATTCCTCCGCTCTTCCTGTTTAACATATACCATCTGCTTAACGTCAACTTCAACTCAAACATCTAAAAACAAATAGCTACCTTCAACTTAATATTATGCATCGATAAAAAACCTTTAAAAATTTACTTTTCTATTAAATTTAGTAATTGACATAAATGGAAAATGATTGCATTTGAAATCAATGATATTCAATAACCGTCTAACGAACCACCCCTTAGTTTATAAACAAGTCAATAAGCTAATAATTTTTTTTTAAATAATGCACTATATATACGCCTTGCGTTTAAGTTACAACGACAACCAACTACTAGTTGTGCGATACAAACAATAGAATGCACTAGTGTTTCAACTAAAGCATCCTGTGACCAAAATATGCATAATTTCCAGAACCTTTCGTCTCATTTAGAAGTTCATGGAAAAGCCGAGTCACATGGTATAAAATATCATGCGAACAGAGCAAAGCTAATCTAGAAGCACAATTCAACTGTACACTGTGCACTTACACAACCTTTACAAACAATTAGAGCATGGTACAAGCTAAAATCGAAAAATGTATCTAAAAAAATAAGCTGCTTGGCAGCTTTCACCAAAAAAATTGACAAAAATTCAATTCCTGAGAAATTTGAAGCTTATAAATTTCAGATTTATAACAGGATCAAAAGTGATCCATTTAAAAATACAGAATCAATCAAAAGAAAAACAAAATCTAGCATAAGTTTGAATTACCAAACAGCATAATTATGAACAGAAGAATTCTTTTAGGAAAAACCTGAAGATCGACATTGAACCAGCTTTGAGAGCAATGCGAGCAATTAATTATACAGCACCATTTCACTTGTTCTCTTTTAACTCCTCTGCAATTTCACTCCATCTTCATCTTCTAGCTTAGATTTATCCGAATACAAGGAAAAAATAATCGGAAAAAACTTTTGATACATTTATAGGAAAAAAAATTCAAAAAAACTTACTTTTTCGGGCAGAACTTGCTACAAATGGTATATAGTATGTAAATTTTTTCTCAAAAACGCTTGTGATAAATATTATCAAATTAGGTTCCCTAAGATGGGTGCTAAATCTATGAAAAGTAGAGCTGAAAAAAAACCGAAAATGGAGACTTTTTCAAAAACAGCCATTCGCGAATTCAGGCGATTCGAAAATGTTTGCCTTTTTAGTAATCCATATTAGTTAATTGTAATTTCATTGGACAAAATTATTTCAACGAGCTTTATATCGACCTGCCGCCCTGTTTTTTGACCAGGCTATGAGAACTCGTTTTCTTCTAGGTGCAATTGCAGAGAAGTAATACCACCACACAAGAATGAGAGTGAAATGGAACAAAATTGAGCGAGACAGCAATGATCTTGTGCCAATGTAACTGAAAACTAGAGCCAATGAAAACTGATCAAAACTTGAAACATTTTTTTAATTGTCGTCTCTTTTCCAAGTCCCTTCCTCCGTTGCTTTTTGCTTTAATTAGATGTTCTCAATCACCAGCGGATTTAGAGGAGGGGGGCGGACGCCCCATCCTCAGGAATTCGACCACCTGCCGACCCAAAGGGTCCCCCTTTGTACTTTTTTGAAATATTCATTTTGGCGACAGACCCTAAAAGTTTTTAAAGGCGCCTTCGGCGCCAATATACACTAATTTTGAGTGGGGAGCGCGCGCCGAAACAAACGTAATTTTTTGGTCAAAATTTTTGAGAAAGTGCCTAAAAACACCCGTGCTTGGAAACGCCTGAAAAAAAGTCGACCCCCCCCCCCCCCCCCCCCCCCCACTCGAGAAAATCCTAGATCCGCCCCTGTTCTCAATGCTACTTGAAATAATTATTTTCTCTTAAACCTATACCAAAACATACCATTGAGAACAAGCGACAGAATGGTACAAATTTCCATCTATTAAAAATTCCTTTTTAATTTTGTAGCCATGACGTTGTCTTTTCATTTAATGAGGTGTGAGAAACTGGGAAAGAGCCAAATTTTCTTAAGAGACCTAAAAATATACTTGCCTATTTCCTCTGTGTTCAATGTCCAGCTTGCAGACGTTTTGTTTGTATGGGGTGATTGAGTTGCCGTGAATATTATTATAGCTATTTCTTAATCTGAACTATATTACGCAAAAAGTTTACACGATCAAAAAGTTAAGTGTGACTGCGTAAGACCGGATTGGTAAAAGTTGGTTTATTATTTATGAATCAAAACCTAAAATCTTCAACGAGTTCTGCGCATTTCTCCAGACACAAGCAACAAAAATGGCCATAACATCTCTGATAATTCAAAAATGAAAAATGTAAACCTCAAACAGTTGGAGAGGCGTCAATGAACTTGAGTAAACCAGGAAAAATAGCCAATACAAAGTTGGACAATGAGCGAAAGGAAACTGAAAACAAGACTGCTCGTATGAGGGCGAGCCCTGAAGGTTCCGACTGCCTTTTAAGGTTTATGGTGCAGTAATAACATAGAAAAATTAAATGAAATAAAATAAAATGAAATTTTTTCTCTAAAACTTGAGATTTTTGGAATCAAGTTAACATCCTCCCTCCCTAATAGACAAAGTTAAGATCCTCCACCCCAGCGCTTAAATTAAATTAAATTTGCTAAGCGCTGCATGTAAAATGCTCGATTCTGATTGGCTAAAAATTACCAAGTTAGAACCAAGTTAACATCCTCCCCCCTAAACGTGTTTAGGGGGGAGGATGTTAACTTGGTCCGACTTTTTTGTGAAAATTATCCCCCCACACACCATTTTATGTAAAAATCATCCCCCCACACGCCCTGTAAACATTCAGAGCAAAGCCCTGATTGATCCGATTGCCTTTTAAGGTTTATGGAGCAGTAATAACATTAAAAAAAAAATTTAGTTTAAAAAAATTTTTTTTTCTTCTAAAATTTGAGATTTTTTGTGAAAATCATCCCCCCCACACGTCATATAAAGTACAAAAAGATAGATTACGCTCCTTGAAACAAATAAATTTTTGCAAATAAGCTTCGTTCAACCAATTTGGAACGATTTCTAAGACGGATTAAATCTCCGCTTACGCGTTATTAGCGCGAAATATATCGCGCGTTAATTGTCCCAAATTGGCCAAAATGGCAATCTTTAAACACCCATAACTTTACTAAAAATGATCACAGGTTAAATATCTTTTCCAATTTAAGCTCAAGACAACAATACCTTTCGAATGATATAAAAAACTCCGTCAAAAATGGATTGTTAAAAAGTCAAAATTTGTCTGAAGAAAAAAAAAACCCACCCCGAGCACAAATATTCCGTTACTTTCGTTTCGAAAGTCGGAACAAAAACTGACTTGCTTTTCGAAAAACATCAATTTGCGAATTTCGAAAAAATGCATGGCTTTAAAGCTCTTTAAATTTCAAGATCAATTTAACATGAACTTTCAATAACAGTTTAAATTTAAGATTGACACTATTTTAATAAAGTTGACTCAATTTGGGAACACTGGACCAATCAGTAAAGTTTTTATTCGCTGGGAAATCTGAAAACTAAGATCCACTTGCGAAGTTAGAGCTCGCCCACGTTTCTATGAGCTTTACACTTTTTCTGTTCAATCGTGGAGCTTGCTTTCCATTTAGGCAAAGGAAAAGAAAGCAAAGTCTAACAGCGAAAAATCGAAGTTGGCAGTTAAAAAAATTGAAGAACGAAAATCATCACAACCTATACTGTACTCTTCACTAAATTCATCGACTCTTGAATTTTTTTTGAAAAAAAACAATCTATCACTAGGAAGCTCTCTTAATTTCAAGAACACTTTATTATCAACAATATTTTCAATAAAAAACTAGACCAATTAGAGAAAAATGGATGTAACTTAATATTCCACTGGGAAATCTATTAACTTAAAATGCAGTTCCGAATTAGAATTAACGTTTTAGCGCCCTTTCCTCTTTCTTGATTAGAGAGCAATATTAGCCTTCCTTTAAGCAGATCAATTTGAATTGAACTTTAAAAAAGCGAAAACCAAACAAAAAAAGATTAAATTTGGCGTGATCAAAAATTAAGATTTTTCCTAGCAAAAACGAGAAATAATCATCACGACATTTATAAGTGTTTTTAAACTTAATAACCGGAAAAAAAACTAAGCCAGCAACAATAGATTTGGGGAGGAAATTTACCTATTTGCTGCATGATAGGTTAACAAGCTGCCAGTCCACTAGAATAATGTGGCCTTTTTATTGATAGATTATCATACATTCTAGAGTAGTAATTTCGAGACAGCAATAAATGCGCATCAGCGAAGCGAATTAAAAACATGACACTAATTTGCTTACTATAATTAAAGCTTGAAATTGAAGCAGAGCATAGAATCTAAAACATAACACAGAACGTTGAGATTTTTCTCATGCTAATTACGCACTGAGGCAATTTTCCATTTCAGACATTTGAAAACAAAATAGTAAGAAACATGAAGACTCTACCCGAATTCAACTTCGAGCTACAAATAAAAAAAACGTTTAGAACAAATTGAACAAATTGAGTTTTTGAGATAGAAAAGAAAGACGTGTTCTTATTTAAATCGAGAAACCTCCAAAAATTTGCAGACGAAAAAAAGGATCCGAATTTCCGACAAAATGTTGTATGAGATGCAGTTTCAGTTTTTCATAAAAGTATAATATCAATTATCAGACAACTTCAGAGCAAAATATTTCTTGAAAAACTCAAAAAAAAACAAATAGTTTGAGAACATTCGGTAACACAGGAGAACATAAGTATAAAGGGTAAGCTTGTGACAAAGCAGTTTGAGCTCTATGCGTTGCCTTCTATTTAAAAACGAATAAAAATCAAAAAGCGCACACAACTTTTTCAAAAAACTTCTGCCATAAACAAGTTTAGTGCGCATTGAAGTGCTAAAACTGTGAAAGAATCCAACAATGCTCGAAACTATTCTTATACAAAAAACAAAACTTCACAAAAAAGTATCATACACCACTACATCGTGCATAGATACTTCAAACACCTCTTCATTTAATACATGAACTCTACTGCATTTGCTGCTGTTGCATAGCTTTGAACAACTCAAAGTTTGTAACCGGGGAAAAATATGTTACCTGCTTCTATCACCATTGCTTATCACATCGAATGGTAAAAAAAACATTAACAAAGAAAATCGAACAAATCAGACTGAATTTATATGCAGATTTTTCAACAGTTACGCTATTCCGTCTCACCCTTGAAGCCGGCAAAATGACAATACATTTCTCTAAATTGTGCAATTGCAAACATGAATTATAACGTATCCTCGATCACAGAATTAAACTTATAATAAAACTTAATATAAGCCTCGCGATTAAACCCAAATGGCTGTTCAATTCTTTCGTATGCTTGCTTCAATGAAGCCTTAAAATTTGAACTCGACAGCAGCAACGTCGCAACACAACTTGACAATTGATTGTTAGAAGATAACACCAGCATATTTAAAATGGACTAATTTAGAACTTTCTGATTAGCAGCTAAAAATGTCAAAGCAATATTGCACTGTTCGTAGTTTGCGTAACCATAGTAACAAGTTCACCACAGCAGCTTCTTTACATTTTTCTGCAAAGAGAACTTGCTTGTCGCCTCAACGCAGCCACAATCAAGCCGATAAAAAAAACAACCAACAAACTCCTTCAAAACTTTCACCTAGATCCAAAAAATTTTAGACGCGGAGCTTCGCGCCACATACTATGCAACACAAACATCGCATGGCAAGCTAGCCGACAATCAATGAGACGAAATAGTTCAAGTCGAAACACTCCACAAAAAATGTCGAAAAAGACTTGCATCAATTTTCATACACTTGTCTCGATTTACATACACTCATTTTCAAACAAATGCCTATAAAGACAAAATTGACCAGCGTTAACTAAGTCAAAAAATCTTGGGCAGACACCAGATCGGCCGCGAAAAACGTTGTAATTAAAAACATTGAGCCGTAAAACATTTTGACACTCGAAGCTCAAAGTCACCAAAACACAGAAGTTCATTGAAAACTGAATCCATCATACGACGCAATGTAAGTCGATTAAGCCGAATTCTACATCAGTTTTGCCGCTAAATATCCTGGGGGAACTGCAGTGATAGATTTGACGAGACGAACAAATCAACCAAATATAATCGATCTCTCCAATTCTATCAAAGTTCAAAGCAGAAATCGATGTTGCTCCCAAAACAACAACTAAGCCGACATAGTACCAACCGAAATAGTTGCGGCTTGTATAATAAAAAACCTAAGCTGTGGAAAGAACAAGCTTTAAAATCAAAAGTCCAAAACAATCATTTTTTTTTCAAAAAATAGAAATAAACAAAAATAGCTACAACCTCAAAAGAACAAAGTAGCTTTATTTGAACTTTCAGGAAATTGAGCATGTCTGAGCAGCAGAAAACGTAAAATTTGCTTACCAGAAAAAAAGTCCAGTTACCGATTTCAAGTCACGTGCTCTTGCAAGTGAAATAACGATGCAAAAAATTGAATACAAACAGACCAAAATATAATGCAGGTAATTTTACTCTTAACATGTAGAACA